GGTAAAATAGATGGCTATGCAAAAATTATCCAACGGAAACTTTATTTGGTTTAAATCCCTCTTCCCTGGTTATAAGTCTTGGTTCGCAATGTTGCTCAGACTCTAGTGTGAGTATCAAAAATGGATATCTGTCCACACGGGCATGTTAAATTTTTCCAAGCCTTTTCATGCGTTCATAAGATCTTTGGGAGGCCATAACCAGATACGTGTTGAACATGGGTTTTGAACACAGATGCTTTAGAAAAAATGAGAATTCAAAAGTAACTAGCAGCTTGAACTTGAGTGCATTGAGAATTTCCCCTTGTTTACAACATTTTAGACATATGAACAAAGATTTCTTTATTACAATGTTGAAATTTAATTTTTAATTAAATTCTTTTTTAAGGACAAGACTACATGTAGTTTATTATCTGCCTTCCTAAAGCCTTTTCTGATCTCTGCTTTCTTTGCCAGGTTTTCGGTGAAAAAGAAGCAATTTTTCATCAACTTTATTACAATCATGCTATTTGGTGTTGTCGGTACACTAATATCTTGTACAGTAATATCTTTAGGTACTTTGCGTTTGACAGATATACAATACCTTTAATTTATCTATTGTTTTACGGGTGACCAGTGGGGATTAGCAGCCAAGGGGTCGGCTTGGTTTGTTGATGTACTTCTAAATGTTCTTGAGATTAATTTGGTGGTTGTGATAGCATATCTTATTCTTCAAACAGGTGTTATTAAGTTCTTTAAGCAAATGAACCTTGGCTTATTCGATATGGGAGATTTTGTAGGTATTTTCCTTGACTGCTCCCTTTCTTTTCAAAATGGTTTGGTCCATGTTTGTGGATCTTACAATTTTTTCTGCAATTTTCAGCAATTGGTGCAATCTTTGCTGCAACAGATTCTGTTTGCACACTGCAGGTATGCATAATTGAAATTCTAGTAGTATTTTTAAATTGAACGACTAGTATATCAAGCTTACTAAACTGAAGCTTCTCCTTCTGATGGTACAGGTGCTTAATCAGGACGAGACTCCATTACTCTACAGTCTGGTTTTTGGAGAGCGTGTTGTAAACGATGCAACATCAGTGGTGCTTTTCAATGCAATCCAGAGTTTTGACCTCACTAACACGTCCTGGAATTGCTTTGGAGTTTTTCGGAAAGTTCTTGTATCTATTTATAGCAAGCACTCTTCTGGGAGTGGCTGTAAGTCACTTTTTATTCAAATATCAACACTGAACTTTCGCTTTATGTTGATCTGATTTTTCATTTTTGTGTCCGAAGCATTTTTGGACATTGGTATACGGGGATATGTCCTTCTAAGGACCCTCCAAATACATAGAAAAACTTTTAAAATCAAACAAATTTTTATCAGACACATGCATGTATTTGACACTCATACATGAGTCCGGTAACATAGCTTCCTCCGAGGTGTGATATTTTTCTTTTCCGTTCAGGTTGGACTGGTAAGTGCTTATATCATCAAAATGTTATACTTTGGCAGGTATGTTTCAGATGCTATCTAGGTTATATATCAATTTGCTCTGAAAAATAAAATCTCAAAATAATAATATAAGAATCTGATACTCCTTTCCAGGGAATTAAGTTTTACAGAAATATAGTGTTTTTAATCATTCTTTATATTAAAAAAAGTTCTACTTAACAGAAGACTCCAATTGAACATGAATTTTGTTAAAACAGTACAGTATTCTTATGTCACATTGTCTTTGAAGTCAAGAACTAATTATATGTACATGATTTTAACATTATCAAGATACCCAACAGATCGTGAGTTTGCTCTTATGATCTCATGGCATACCTTTCATATATCATGGCTGAAGTAAAGACTTCTTGGGATAATATGGCACTTTATTGCATTCTTTAATTTTTATTTCAATATAATATCTAATACTGCCTTCCGTGCAGCTGTTCTATTTTAGTGGCATTCTCACGGTGTTTTTTTTTTTTTGCGGGATTGTGATGTCGCATTATACCTGGCACAATGTTACTGAGAGTTCAAGAATAACTTCCAAGTATGAATCCTCTGTATTATTGTCTTAGAAAAGGCAATAAAATTTATAGGTCATTGATATTAGGAGGGAAGAGAACTTGTTAAGTGGTGTCATCTTACATATGTTAAATTTAGGGCTTTAAGAAGTCTCATGTTCAAGTTGCAACCTTGTCACTATAGCTAATTGGTTTTAGGGACAATACTTAACACCTCTTAATCAAAAGTTTATCTCTTTATATGCCTCAAATGATTCAGATCTTTTTTACAGGCATGCTTTTGCTACCTTGTCATTTGTTGCCGAGATTTTTATTTTTATCCATGTCGGAATGGATGCCTTGGACATTGAAACATGGGGATTTGTAAATGATAGGTATTCTCTATGCTGTTGCTGCTTCAACTTTTCATTTGTCTGACAAAATGTCACACTCTAAAGATCCTTCAAATATGTGGAAAAACTTCTTAAAGTTTAAACATATTCGTAACCGGGAATCACACCTGAGTCTGTGTACTTAACTCTATGCATCTGCTGGAATAACTAAATTTTGGTAAAATGTATATTAATGAGTCAATTTGGTCTTGATTGTTTGCTTCGGGTATATATTTTCAGATTTTCTTTTCCATTTCCTTTATCTCCCTTGCAACTTGTACAATATAACATCCATTTACAGAATGATCTGTTGTTGTGACATTGAATTTGATCTCCTCTTTGCAGACCTGGGACATCAATTATTGTTAGTTCCGTACTGCTTGCACTGGTTATGGCCGGAAGAGCAGCTTTCGTGTTTCCCCTGTCGTTTTTAATCAACTTAGCCAACAAATCACCTAGTGACAAGATCAGCTTTAGGCAATAAGTACGAGTTAGTGGCAATCTCTTTTGCTTCGATATCAATTAATAATGTTGTTTGGCAGTTGGCATTACAATATCTTTGTAATCTTTTGTTTAGGTTATAATATGGTGGTCTGGTCTCATGAGAGGTGTTGTATCTATGGCACTTGCATATAATCAGGTAAAGTCTGGATACTCTATTTCTCTCGAAACAAAATCTTTTTTTTATCATACATCATAAAAAGCCTCGTATTAAAGTTTTCTAAAAGATTACGAGGTAATTTAAAAAATGCACAAATAGAACACGGGTATCTTCAAAAATTTAAACGTTTTTTCATATATTTGGAGGGTCATTGGGGGTCTTATCTACATACCTATATCTGAAATTGTGGGTGATACGGCATTTTGAGAGAAATAAAAGAGTTGGAGCAACATAGGAGATAACTAGGAGCGGAGAAATTTGTTTGATGGACTTCTACGTGATGAAAATGAAGTTTACAAGGGGAGGGCACACTCAATTGCATTTGAATGCTATTATGATTACAAGCACTATCACTGTAGTTCTTTTTAGTACCGTGGTAAGATATCTCCAGCCTTTATTTTAACTGCTTAGAGATTTGCTGGTTCACATTTTATTTTGTTCTTCTTGGCCCTTCGGTTAAAGATCTGATGTAGAGTCTTAGCTGAGGATTTGAGTTTTACATTGCTAAAGTTTTATTCACACCTTCAAATGCGACCTGAAATCATATTTTAGCAGCCTTTTCCTAGTCTTGTTTTTTTGTCCGTCTTACGATAACAATTTCTTGGGGATGTTAGTAGCTCTTTATATGAAGTTCTTATTTGCAAAATTGATTCAGAGCATGTAAATCCATATTGTAGCATCTTTGCCGAGTATTTTTTGTGTCTTAAGCATAACAGTTTCTTGGAGATGTCAGTGGCTCTTTATCTGAATTTCATATTCGCATTATCGAATCAGATGCCTGAACTCCATGTTATATCATCAATCTCCGGGACACGTTCTATTATCTGTCTTAAGCATAACAGTTTCTTAGTAACTCTTTTTCTGAAGTTCGTATTCACATGATCGAATCAGATGCCTGAACTCCGTATTCTATCATCATTTTCCAAGTCTTGGTGTCTTGTCTTTCACGCTGATCGGGTTTTAGGAGATGTTGGTAACTCTATCTGTTGGTTCGGCTGATCAGGTTTTTGGACTATTGACTAAACCTTCAATAAGGTTCTTGCTACCTCATTCCAAAGTAACAAGCATGCCCTCCGGACGTCTGTCTCCAAAATCAGTCACGAAGCCGTTTCTAGGAAGTTCTCGGGACTCCTTCGATGATACTCCAATGGAGTACAGCGGCCAGGCACCATTGGCGCACTTCTTACGACTCCAACACACACCATCCATTACTACTGGCGCAAGTTTGATAATGCCTTCATGCGGCCCATGTTTGGTGGCCGGGGTTTTGTTCCCCTCGTTCCTGGCTCCCCAACAGAAAGGAGTGAACATGGTCTATCTCAGTTGCACTGAGACTCTGCTGGAGCGAGACGTAAACAAAATACACGCATTATGCATCGGAGTTGTTCTCAGAAACGCTAACATCTTGTAAAGTATTTTGACGAGGGTGCGCGAGAAGCTGAACCGCAATGGCTTTTGTAATGTATCATATATAGGTAATTTTTGTTAATGCCCGAAGTTAGCAAAAGATGTATGTTAGGGTCGGGTTATTCAAGCGGTTCGATGAGTTCGTCTGTCTGTCTGAATCAGACTTTAGACGAGCTATTTGTGATTTAGACCGATCTCATTCGGCTCGAATGATTATTTTAATAATTGAAAATTTTTTTAATTATCACTTGAATGAAAATGAAAATATATGAAGGTTTAATGCTAATAAAAAATCTAATATTTAAATCTAGTAAATCTAAAGTTTTTTTCTCCAAAGATACGTTTATTTTTTAAAATGTAATATTTTATATTCATACTTGTGGAAGATATAGAATAAAAATAAAATAGTCGGAATGGATCCATTTCACCAAGTGCTGTCCACAAGATTCCAACTTTACCTACCAACAATAATAAATGAACATAGAATACCGACAGATCACGTTTTGCTAAAAAAAAAAAACTCGTTTTTGTCAATAATCAATATCACAAGACGTCCTACTATAAAATCCAAAGTCTTTAACCCTCGGGCCACTTACTCATCTTCTTCCCTACACTCACTTCGATCTCTCCGCCGTTTCTCATTTACTCTCGTATCTAATGGCTTCCATTGCTGCTGGCTCATCCATCGCTATGCGACCTCGCATCACCCTTGTATTTTCTTCTCTCTTCTTTCTTTGTAGCTCCTAAGGCATTTATTTCTTCTATTCTTTGTTATTTGTCTGTTTGTTCGGTTATTTTAGCTCGATCTGTTTGTTGTTTTAGTTGTTCTCCTTTTACATGTTGCTTTTTATATATGGATTTTAGTCTAATGTTGAGATTCATACCTTTTTATGAGGTTTTACTGTTCATTTTGTTGATTCAACTTCTTTCATGGATGATTTTATCTGGTTAATCTGAGATCTGGAGGTTTCTAATTCATTTTCCTTATTTTTTGTTTTGTTTCTGCTGTTTCATTTGGTTTTGTTTTCGATTTTTTAAAAAGGAATTCTATTTGGATGTAAATAATTAAAAACTTCAAATTGTAAATCTTACAGAGAACATAAGATATGTTTTTACTTGTATATCGAACGAAGGATTTATGCTGATTTGATGTTGCGTTATGTTATTCGTTATCCTTTAATCAACTGTGGTTTTGAGTTTTACCAATTTTTTAGAGAGCAAAAAGCAAGTAACTAAAGCAAATGAGCAGAAGATCTGTTTTGCATCAATGTTATGTTGTAAAGAGGAAAGCTATAGATTTGCTGGGTATTATTCGTTTTTAGCTTAAGATGGTTTGTTGTATTGGCTTTTGGCTTTTTCTAAACATGATTTTCTTTGGAATTATTTTGATAATAACATAGATTATCGCATATGATTGGCATAATATATGTTCAAGTTGGGACCTTTTATACCATGTGAATCAGATATCGTTATATCTGACATATCATTGTAGAAAGTTTTATTATTTATATTTTGAGTGCTTATGAATATTAATAGTATGCTGTTGCATTTGCGATTTTGTTTGTAAAATTTAGTGAAATAGGCTATGATTGAAGTGCAAAAGTAAGGTTTCTATTCTGCTAGGAATAAGGTGTTGAGATACCTTTGAATATTCTTGTTTCTTCTAGAACCATTCTTTTTGTGTAAATTATTGGCTTATTTGTCTGCTATTGAACATCTTTTGACAGGCTGCAGGCAGGGTTTACGGTTTGAAATTGGGTTCATTTATGAACCACAGAAGAAGCAGCCTATCATTTACAATGCGTCCAATGCCTGCTCGCTTGCAGATTAGCTGTTCTGTATGTTTCTAACTAAATGCAATGATATTAGTTTTAATATATCCTATTGTAGATGTGGTAGTGATCATAAGAATCCACTTTTGGATTCCTATGAGGCTATGATTATATATATAACTGTTTTCTCTTTGATATGTTTCTATTAAATAATAAGCTCAGTTATTGTGCTAAATGCTATTGTGCAGGCCAAAAAAGAGACTGTGGATAAAGTTTGTGAAGTAGTAAGGAAGCAACTAGCTCTAGAAAATGACCAACCAATCACCGGTGAATCAACATTTGTTGATCTTGGAGCTGATTCTCTTGATACGGTACTCTCTCATCTCTATAACCCTTTGATGTACTTTCTTTTGTTTCACTTTCATATTATGCACATAAAAGAAAGTGCAGGATCAAGGAGAGCATGAATTTGTTGATTAGTTGTTTTTTAACTTGAAAGATTATTGCTTGCGGTTTGTGTTAAAATTGTTGAATACCATTTCAGGTTGAGATTGTGATGGGACTGGAGGAAGAATTCGGAATCACTGTCGAAGAAGACAACGCACAAAGCATCACAACTGTTCAAGATGCTGCAGATCTTATTGAGGAGCTCTGCAGCAAGCAAAGTGCCTAGAAAGGGATCCAAGTAGGACGGTTTTCGTGTGACGATATTTGATACGATTCTCTAGCCTGCAATATATAGCATTTCGGTGAAATCTTGTGTGAACTTTTATGTTCAATACGTAGGAAATCACGTAATAAAGTTGTTGGGATTATTAGTTAAATTATGGAATTTCTATTTGTGTCACCTTTTTTTTTTCTTTTTAGTGATTTATTTAGAACTTTTGTTTTCTGTTAGCTCTGAGCCTCTGATGGATTGGATTGAGTTCCTTGAAAAGGTTATTCGTTTCATGCTCAAACTAAAAACTTGGACTTTTCAACCAAATATATGACATCAATTTATTGATGTAACAAAGTTGAGTTAAAGAAACTACAGCTCTAAAATTCCGAACTAATATTGAGTAGTACTTTCTAACGCTTGAAAAAGTTTAAATCGTTTGCATTTAATAAAGGTCGGTTCTATGGTAAAAAAAATTTGTTATCAATGCTTAGTCAAGCGTTATGGTAATAAATTTTTACTAGGTTTATTAATTTGAGTTGCATGAATTTAAACTTGATTTAAGCTCGTACCATATTCAAATAATTTCAAACCACTGTTGACTCGCAAGCATGACTATTTCATTTGTGTTGGATTTGTGTTAATTGATGACCATTATTGGCTTGTATGGGTCCAATAGGTTAAAGGGTTTTTAGCAGTTTATTTGTGTTTGGATTCAATTCGGATATTTTTGTAATCTTGCCCATGTCAGTCTAAGATTTTGCTCTTTTCTGCTTCGATAATCCACTTTCTTCTTCTGCAATTTTACTGTTCAACAGTCGATCTCCGGTAAATTAATATTGGCTACCTGTTTGCGGAGACCTTCACACTTGTTGAAATCGTCAATAACATCATCTTTGGCGTCATAAAAGATGTCTCTGGGCTTCCACAAACAATGGCGCAACTTTTCGTTGTGGTGCTGCTGTCGCTCAGCATCCAAAAGCACAGCTTTAATGCTGCTGCTCATGGTCTCCTTCAGCCTCCTCAAATTGTTTTTGACGTTGAACGCCAAACCAACTTCTTCCAAGGTGAGAAAGTCCACAACCCTTTCTGCAATATTGAAAAAAAAAACGTTTCTCCCATAATTGCTTCTTTGAGGATCTTCTTCCATTGGAGATTGCAACAAGTTTGCAGTGCTACAAAATCTTATTTCACTATTGTCAACTCTACCAGAGGGTACAGATCATCCCCTCGGACTTGGACAAATAACAATTAGAAAATGTCTGGACTTGAGAAGAATAACAGATCGGCACATAATGTCAATGTGCAGGCAAAAAGGAAGACTCTGGATAAGATATGTGAAGCAGGAAGGAAACAACTAGCTACATAGAATGAAAGACCAATCACCGCTGAAACAAAAACCTAGCTTGTTTGATTGAAAAATAAACACAACATTCAACACATCAAACAAATATCATTACAAGTTAAAAGTTTACTACATACCTAAAATATTATCTTTAATGCGAACCTCTTGGATGTGGGCAATCTTGTGCCAATCTGCACCCCCATCTCGTCGGTATCTTCTGCTCAATTCTGGACATTGTTTAATATTTAGTTCCCTAAGTTCGGCCAGGCAGTCCATTCCCTCCGGTAGGGCTGAAATTTTTTGCAATTAACAATCTCAAGTTTATGAAGTGAAGTGAGATCTTTTAGCCACGCCAGTAGAGCTGCAAAATTGTAGCAATTTTCAATTCGTACTTCCTTCAAAGTGGAAGACGATCCTTGAAGAAGCAATTGTAGCAAATCTGTGAACACATTTAATCGGCAAACAGCGAAAGTTTTGAGGCTCAATTGAAGATCTTCGTCTCCTTCCTCTTCTTCTTCCATCTGTAAATTGATCTTATCACAAGAAGATACAAGAAGGTCTTCCATTTTGGTTAAAAATTTCAAGGTTCGTGGCAATGAGACGAGATTAGGACAATCATACAGAACAAGTCTTCGAAGTGATGTGAGATACTGCATTCCTTCAGGTAAATATCTAAATTCTCACAACTAATCAACATCAAGCATTGAAGAGAAGTCCAACATCCTAGTCGAATTTCCTTAAAATGCTTAGATTTAACAGTTATTTCTAGATATCTACGCTCAATCAAACATTCCATGTTTTCAGGCAACTGCACCAATGGAATATCATACATTCTTAATGTTTGTAAGCTCCGAAGCTTACAGAAAGAACTTGGAAGTTTGGTTATGTTATAAAAACGTTCCAAGTCGATAAGTGCTTTAATGTACCAATGGAATTCGGTAAAGCTGCCAATGGTGAAATGCGTAAACTAAGTGCTCGTATATACTTGAAATTGGAGACACAAAGATTTATAAGAGAATCACGAAAAGTCTTCAATTCCCTTGAAACCTCTTGGACGATTACTGTTCGAACATTTTTCAATTTCCTCATAACTCGGGGAACTTTTACCAGCTTCTCATCACAAAATGATAAATGTCGAACGTTTCTGTCGATGGTTTCTGTTTAGCAATTCACTGTTTTACACTCTTTTTGGGACACATCTAATGCAAGATCATGTATCAGATCATGCATTTTGAAGGTGAAATACAAGTCATGATCCTCCTCCTGGATGAAGCACCAAATACTGGTTACCAATATCCTCACATTCTTGACTTTCGATGATCGTGCAGTCCATTTGCCATCCAAAAATGGGCAACTTGATCACTATAATAGACCGTATCCTTTTTATACAATGAGAAAAAGGCAAGACATTGTTGCAAATGAGATGGCAAATGATTGTAACTCAACTTCAACACTGGTAAGATATCATTTTCACTTTGCTCAAGCCTCCATATCTCATTATCTCTTATAGAAATCCAATAAGATTCATCAGTTTTCAAATACAGTAGACTTCCTAATGTTCTCACTGCCAAAGGCACTCCTTTGCATTTCTTCACGATTTCCTCCCTGATTCTCATGAGATTCGGATGTTGACTCTCACCACCTTCATTAAATGCCCATTTGGTAAACAAAGACAAACAATTCTCATGAGGGAGACCTGTCAACAGTCAATGATCTTGCTTTGAGAAAGGCCACCCATCGATCTCAATAAATCTCTTAAATCGATCCATCTAGCTCGATTTTCATTCCACACATCATCTAGAACGAGCAAAAACTTCTTATCATTCAAAAGACTCCGCAAACAAGTTTGTAAGGCTTCAACTGTTAAACCATCACAATTTTCTTCTTTATTTATAGAAAGAATCATCAGTTTCAGCAATCTAGGAAGATCAAAATCCTCTGAAACACAGATCCATAATTTCAGTGGGAAAAATCTAGTAACTCTATTATCGTTTTATACTAATTGAACAAGCGTGGTTTTCGCTAGACCCCCAATTCCGACTATGGGAATGATAGGGATATTCCGATCCTCACTCGGTTCCATCAAGTGATCAATAATCTTATCTCTATCCTCGTCTCTACCAATGACATCCGTAGAGTTAACAAAAGAGTGAGTCTCTCTGCGAAAAACATGTCGATTATCGCTACTCGGTCCTAAACTAAAACGGTTCCACTCAGTGGCGAGTTCGTTTAACCTCCAGTTGATCTGTTTGATTTTGTGACCCATTTTTAAAGAGAATGAAAGAGGCAAAGAGCAGGGAGCTAAAAATCGCACCTTGAAGCTGATGTTGGGATGATTGACGACATGTTTGCGGAGAGCTTCACACTTGAAATCATCAATAACATCTTCAGCATCGACATACAGAGGCGCAACTTCTCGTTTCGGTGCTGCTGCCGCTCGGCATCCAAGAGCACAGCTTTGATGCTGCTCATGGTGTCCATCAGCTTTCCCAGATCGGTTTTGACATTAAACGCCAAGCGAACTTCTTCTACGGAGAGTTTGACTACTTTTTCCAGAACCCTTTCTGCAATATTGAACAAAAAGGTTTCGCCCATGATTGAACTCTGTGAGGATGAAGAAATGCGACAAATGAAGCACTCAAAAATGTTTTTTCTAATCCTATTATTAGCAATATATCCAAGTTGCCTTTGAGTAAATCCTGTAGGGTTCCTTTTTAGTCTTATCTTGTTGTTAATAAACGAATATCTGCGTAACTGTGTTGACTTCGGTCCTAATTTTTAATGTTCTTTTTCGATTATACCACATAGATCATGAGTTATTTAAATTTAATTTGATTAAAGTTTATTAATATTTAAATTAAATAAATTCGATTGGTAATTGACTTAAAAGGTTCATCCAATAAAATAATACAATTTTTTAAAACTTTTTAAATTAATCTATTAATAATATTAACATTTATAAGTTGTTTTTTAAACAAGGTGTTCATGTTTTTAAGGTTTATATTCGTGTTTAAGTTTCGATCGAGTTAAATTTGAGAATATGTTGAATTCAAACTTTTTCAAGCTCGAGTCTAGTTTCAATTTTTGATTTTAAATTCAAATCGAACTTGATAATTTTTAACTTGCGAGCTTTCGGATCGAGTTGAGCTCAACAATATTCAAGTTTGACTCGACTCATTTATACCTTAAATTTGAGCTCGTGAAAAGACTATCTCCAAACGTAAACCGCATATCTAAATCTAATATGATAATCCAAACAAAGAAGATCAATAGGATAACAAATAAGTTTCATATTGATTAGTCAATACGACATCACATTCAACTATTAAAAAATTAATAAAAAAATGACCGACACTAAAATTATTAAAATCGTCTATCAAACGAAGAAGAAAAAGGAACAAATGACGTAAGTTAAGAGAGAACTTTTCGGGAAATAAAAATTAAATCAACTTATTTAATTATTTATTAGTCATATACCCAACATACTAACTTAATAGCTTGCTACAACTATATTCCAAAAAAATAAAAGCGCTTGCTACAACTTCAAAAATGTTTTAGCCTTGACAGATTAAAACATATAAGATATACAGTATACAGTGATATTCAAAATTAAGGCCAACATAATATAGGCAACAAATGACTTTGGATCAACAAATATGCAAAAGGCAGAAGTTGAGAACGGCCCAAATATATAAAAGCCCACCTTTAAATTTTGTGGTCTTTATATATAATATATAAATAGATGTCCCTTGTTCCTATATGTAATAAGGTAAGGGGAGGTAAGATAGTAAGTTGCTCCCAATATTAGGTTGAGAACAGCTTCCGTAGGAGATCTCCAAATTATAAAATGCCCTCCACGAGACTCGATCTCACGACCTCAAGGTTAAAAACCTTGTGCTATCCAGCTCAGTTGGTAGAACACAAGTTCTTAACCTTGAGGTCGTGGGATCAAGTCCCATGGAGGACATTTCATAATTTGGAGGTATCCTACGAAGCTGCTTTCAATCTAGTGTTGGGGCAACCTACTATCTTGTCTCTCCCTTACCTCATTACATATGGGAACAAGGGACAACAATTTTATATATAATATATTTTTTTTTTAATTTGCAGTCAGTTTAATTACCCTTGTACCCTCAGATGGGTAGTTGGGTCCAGCGATTTCCACCCGTTTCTATAAATTTGATTAAATTCCTAAACAAACAAAAACACTCGATTCATTTCTCACTCTTTGTTTTCTGTCGTTTACTCTGAAGGGGTGCCCTGAGGTAATCATCTTTTGATTCTCTTTCCCTTCGATTTTTAGGTTTTAAAGCTTCGATCTGCTATCCTTTTATGTATCTAGAGCTTAATTTTACTGTTCTTCATATTTGTGTAAGATCGTTCTAGATCTTTCTTTTTTGATTTCTGCCTAGATTTCGCTTGCTTGTTGATTTTCTCTTTTGTTCTCGTTGCATGATAAGTTAGTATGAATCCTATTTGCCGGTTGATGACTGAAGAAATTAAGAAAAATATTAAACAAAATACATATCGAAGAAGATCTACTTTGGAAAGAAGCTGATCAATTTTCTTCTTCCTTTTTTTTTGGTTTGGAAGTCATGATTTTCAGCATAAAGTTTCGATCGGTTTATTTCTCTATATCTTAATTTTTTTATTATGCCGTTCTTCAGCTTATATGGTATATCGATCTAGATTCCTTCTTTTTCTTTATCTATATTTTACTTATTGAATTTCCTTTTTATTATTATTTTCACTAACTTCTGGTTTTATTATATAGGCTAAAATTTTAAAAATAGCTCTCAATCTATTCCATTATGCTTTTTTTGTGTCAAATAAGAGCTTATATTTAATTTGTACCTAGATAAGCTTTTATTTCATATTTTTATTCTTTGATATAGCAATAAAATTATTGGTTTGATTGCATTTGTATTTATCCAATAATTATGTCGTGTCATATAGTACAAAATTTGGGAAGAAATTGATGGAGCAAGTTGCATGGCTCATCATAATTACTTTTTGAGTCTTTTATTCCGTTTTCATTAATGTATTTATTAAAAACATCTTTTACTTGGGCGAAGTTATTTACTTTCATGTCTAACATTGTGTAGTATAGATCACATAGAAAAATGGTGAAGGCCGTTGCCGTCCTTAGCAGCAGTGAAGGTGTCAAGGGAACTGTTTTCTTCACTCAGGAGGGAGATGGTAAATCACAACCCTGATAAGACTTGGTCTTTGTATTTCTGTATTTATTGTTGAAGTTATTTAACCTTTTCTGCCCTTCCTAGGTCCAACTACTGTAACAGGGAACATTTCTGGCCTAAAGCCTGGTCTCCATGGATTCCATGTTCATGCCCTTGGTGACACAACAAATGGTTGCATGTCAACAGGTAAAAGTCTGAAAGTTGGACTTGTTTTTCCTTTTGTTTGGAGTCGGAAGGAAAATGGGGAAAATGAAGGGAGATTGACTTTATTGAATTCTTTTGATTTTGTATATAATTCCTTGCAATTGATTTCCTTGCAGGACCTCACTTCAATCCTGCTGGAAAAGAGCACGGTGCTCCTGAAGATGAGAATCGCCATGCTGGTGATCTTGGAAATGTCACTGTTGGTGATGATGGTATGAACGTTTTCCTTCTTTAAATGACCATCAGCTGTCTAGTTCATTACAAACATATTCAAAATATTTATATTAGATTCTCTTTCCATTTTTCAGACTCAACTTTTTTCATTTGTTTGTAATTGGTGTTTATGTTTCTTGTATGGTTAACATTGTTATCTGTGTTGTCTAGGCACTGCCAGTTTCTCAATTACTGACAACCAGGTTCTCTTTCAACTCCTTTTACCTCTGTGCATGAATTTATTTTCCTTGTATACTTGTGTTCAGTTTTGAATGTTGTGGTATTATGCATTGGCAGATTCCTCTCACTGGGCCAAACTCCATTATTGGAAGAGCCGTTGTTGTCCATGCAGATCCTGATGACCTTGGCAAGGGTAATAGTTCAAAATTTTGATACTGCTCTAGTTGTTTAATGTTGTTATACTTAAGTCTTCTCTAATCTAGAAAAGAACTGGTTAATAAGTGGTTGACTTCTTGAATTGATCTGCCTCCCAACTATCTTTTCTGCCTGGCTGCAATGGAAAAATCAAATTTGAAATGTTAATACATCCTAATGGCTCATGCTTTTGTCTTGTGGATTAGCTGATCAGGCAATGCCTGCAAGTATATGGATTGCTTCTAGCTAAGCTTAAGTATCCAGCAAAAACAATTAGATGGATTAGTTATATTAGGGGCATTATCATTGTTATTCAGTTATAATAACCAAGATATATATCCAATGATTTAGGCATTTAATGTCACTGCAATTATATTTGCAGGTGGGCATGAGCTTAGCAAAAGCACAGGAAATGCTGGTGGCAGAGTAGCTTGCGGTAAGTTAACATATCTTCAATCACATGCAGAGTAAATTCTTTTATTAATTAACATTCATCATTGTACTATTTTTTGTAAATTCTTTTACAATGTCAATAATTTCCTTAAATACTTTTTTGTTTTTCCCTCATGATTGATTGCTCTATTCTTGTTTTTGCAGGTATTATCGGTTTGCAGGGGTGAAATGTTGGTCCTGGTGACCAGAATAATACATGGGTTGAGATACAATGGCACAGAGAGCAAACTCCGTATGTGAACTAAAACTTAGTTAATAAAAGTAAAAGAACTCTTGTTTTGTGCTTGTGTTGAAACTTAAAAACAGTGCTTTCTTAATGAATGCTTTTTAAATTTCTAATAAACCGTCTTTTGCGATTTGCTGAATGCTTAAGTTGCTGCTCTCTTGCTTATTCTTTGTCTCCTAGTTATAGCATAATGATTCTGCAATTTTCATGGCTAATTTTGCATGAAATTATCTTTATAGTTTGAAGCCTTGACTCGAGAAAAAACATCCAGAGTTCATGCTTTTATTTTTAGGCGAGTTTGGGTGTGAAATTTGGCATAGCATGATGGCCTTCATCTACAGTGGTGTGTGATTATTAATTCAACATTTGAAGTTTTACTTTGAAACGTAATTGTCAATTTAGGTCAGGCCTTGTTCAAAGGTTTGAACTTTGATTTTTTTAGAAAAGTGTTGTATTTTTTGACCCGTCATTTATCTGTTGATCCATTTATTAATTCAGTTAGAATATTATCACATACCACCTGTGTTTCGTGCTTGCGTAGCTTGTTAGTCTACGTTCGAATCAGGTGAGGGTCTGTTTAGGAATAATAAATGTTTTACAAGATATTTTATAGTTAAATGTTAAATAAAATATTATTATTATTTAATTTAACACTTACTAGGAAAAAATATAATACTCCTGCTTTTATCATGGTGAAACGAAGGTGTATACATTGAAATAAGGAGGGGGGAAAAGACAAATCTCTACCTTAGAAATATGCATCCCGATAAGGACAATGTATTTGTATGCAAAGGAGCTTTTTGGTAGTAAGTGAAAAGAAAACCTTGTCTTCCTCCTAAATCCGAATCTTCATATAAAAATGACTTCTTTTCGACATTGTTTAACCGGCTCTTGATTTTCTCAATCTCTTAGCTTTCTCTTTCAAGAGACATCGTTTTCTATAGAGCTCCATATTTTCAAAATGCTACACCCGCACCTTTAACCGAAACTGGTCGATGTAAGTCAAATTATCTTTCTCGAATTTTTTTATCAAAAAAGGAATTTTGCATTATTTAACATTAACCCGGTTGCGACATAGAACAGTGTCTGAGACAACAGCATGCAATATGGAAATTAACAGTCCATAGGCTGCTGATTAGTACACGAAAGATATTTTATAAAATAAATATCCGAATGTGAGGGGTTTGAAAAGTTGCTTTCTAGCTTGGCAAGCGCATCACCACATCGGTTATCATCCCTGAAAGTGTGTTGCAGCCTATGGTGCTCGAAGTGATCGAGGAGAGTCCTGCAATCATGGACTAAGGTGGACAACACAAGCTTATTGATCTCATTATTTGAAATGCAGCCAATGACAAAGGTAGCATCGGGTTCAATCACTGACTGAAATATTAGCATTTTTTGTTGTTGCTGCTGAAATTATGCCATCAGCAACGCCCACAACTCACCTTGGACGCTTGTCGCAAAAAGGATATGCCGAGTGTTGAAGTTGCAGTGATGATCAGAAATGTGAACGGCAATGAATATGATCTATTGAATTAGTGAAGAAGATGAGAATGGCAACAATTTTATGTTTTTCAACAAAATGATTATTAACTAACCTAAAATTTAATCTATTTAGATTTTTTTATAATTTCTTTCTCATATAATTTAAGGTTTCTCAACAAAATGAATCCAAAAAGCCCAACATATAACGAATTTATTATTAGCTGAACTAATATCATTACTAACTAACCTAAAATTTAATCTATTTAGATTTTTATAATTTCTTTCTCATTCATTCCGTTTTCTCTTGCTTGAACTCTTGTAAACTAGAAATACGTAGTTGATGTTAAAATTATTGAAATACATCGTTTTTTTTTTCAGCTTATATGAAGTCGAATCTTGGCATTTGTCCTGAAAACGTAATACCTCTTTACTTATTTTAACCCATATATATCTAATGCTACATCAATAAAATTATGATATTCGACTTTTACAATTCAATACGAACTTGACATTTTCCCTTGATAAAGAATGTCCATCAACATCATAAAAGGCAACACATTAATATATTCAAAACATAATATATCTCGTTTGATTTTCATTTTATAAAATATCAACTACAAACACCTAACAATTTCTTAATCCATTAATTTGTCGAACTAATCTATATCAGTATGAAAACAATAAAAAGGTTACAGTAGTAAATTAAATCTCAATTTGGTCGTAGTATAGGGGCTAAGTTCATAGTTTCACCAAAGTAAAAAATAGACTTTAAAGAGGAAGATGAAAGCGTAGCAATAAACAATTTATTAGTAATCCTTTTTTTTTCTCCAGGAAAAAAATGGGGAGAGAGGTATCAGAAAGCTGTATAGATAGCTTACTAACCGAAATGGTTTCAACATTTGCAATCGTTTCTATGCCAACAAGCCTGAACTCGCCGCTCGACGGATCGAAGCCATTGGATATCAGGTCGGCCACCAGCTCTCTGAACGGTAAAACCTTCCCCATCTGATCAAAACCCAATCTCCCTATTTTTTTTTTGATGAGTTGATATTAGTAGATTTATGAATCTGAGCAGCCCATTTGAATTATGTTTTTTGTTGTTGTAAATTTAGCTTCAATTTAAGTTACTGTGATGTAATTTCCCTTTTTTGGATTTGGGGGATTGGAGAAAAAACCCATTAGTTGTAATTGAGTTAATTTGAGCGTAATTAAAAAAACATCTTGATTATATTAAATTGGATGTAGTTTATGATATGAGAGAAAGGAATGCTATTAGTTTTGGTTTTTTGTTATGAAGTTTCTACGATCGATTAATGTTCTGAACACGCTTGAATTTGAAGCTCTGATTAAGTCTCAGCATTGCTTGGAATTGTTGTATTGATTACCTTGCTAATTTCATTTTCACCTCGAGTGTCATGATGTAATATAAGCTAAATGCTATGGAGATTAAAAATTCCGATAATCTGGTTTGCAGTCTTGAAGGCTCTTCTCAAGTTGTATGCATTTGTTTATACTCTAATCCGAAAAGATTTTATCATTTTAAGGTAGTGTATAGAACAAGGTATTGATCAATGTCTCTGATCGGTTTATTTTTAAACTTCTTGTCTTATTTAATGATATCTTTACATTTGATCTTGGTATTGTATGTTGTCCGAAATCAAAATTTTATATACAGTGACCCTTTATGTAGTATGCTCATTGTGAAATGCATTTTGAAGTCTTTGGGCTTGATTAATTAGATAAGTTATAAATGTTTCTTCTGGATATTCAGTTTTTCGTGAGGTTAAGATAATACAAGTTGTGATAACAAAGTTTAGTCATTGACAGGTACTCGATGGAGAGACCACGTTTTAGTGATCATTTAGAAGCAATCAAGTTCATCTGCAAGGATTTTTGGTTTGAACTCTTCAAGAAGCAAATAGACAACTTGAAGACAAATCATAGGGTATGTTTAGGTACTGAAACTGTCCAAAACTGTGTGATAATGGAATTTTAAGAAATGGTCTACACTTGTCTTGTAGGGTACCTTTGTATTGCAAGATAATTGTTTTCGTTGGCTTACAAACATGTCAATTGAGCAATCACCTGAAAATGGAACATCCGAGGAGCTTTCTATCATGGCTGACAACAAGGCTGTGCAAAGCATGCATCTGTATTTTCCATGTGGAATCATAAGGGGAGCTCTTTCAAACTTGGGAATACCTTGTGCGGTTTCTGCCGATATATCCAACCTCCCTGCATGTGAGTAACCTACATGATTATTGCTGATAAATTTCATTACCCTATTGTGAACATTTATTAACATGTTTTGAGAAACTCGAATTATAAATAATTTTGACTTGGTTATGGTTAACATTCTACTTCAATAAATTAGCCTGTGGATAAACCTTACGTATTATATAGAAGAAATTAGAAAGAAAAAAAGGTGTTACCTACAAAGAAATATGGAATGAGCACATCGATATCCCGGCCCATGAAAACCTGACGTTTACTTTGTTAGATGGTTCTTTGGTTTTGAATACATATTTTGATTTTTTGCCCTTATTTGTAGTTTAATCAATGATGTTGAGATGTTTCTGGAAATTTAAACGTAATTGCTGGATATTTGAACAGATTTAAAACAAACTTTTCCAGAACTCTAATCTTGCGATTACTCCAGGTTCATTTGTGGTTCGGATAAAGGCTTGACAAGCATGTTACGAGAGATGCGTCACCCATCATCCGGGGTTTCGAACATACTTCTGAGTGGTAGTCTAAAGCATGAGAACAAGTTGGTTTGAGAAGAGAATCCCATTCAGAATTATCAGAAATTCAGGTACAAGAAATACTATTTGAAGAAAGTTATGCGACAGTTGGGAAATTTCGGATATCGTGAAAACCTTTGTTGTCGAGTTCTTTTCTGTGTATTTGACTGTGATATTCAGCAATGGGAATTCGCTGTGTTAAAATGACTTTCAATAATGCCCAAAGAGTGGACTGTGTTGAAAAGATCGAACCAGATGGTCCTATAAAAATGGTTAAAAATTATAAATATCTCATTTGGCCTTTTAATTATAATTAAATTTTATTTTGATATTTTTTAATATTTTTAAGTAAAAATTTATTTTGATATTTTTAATATTCTTGTAAAAATAAAAGAGTATATTTTGCATTTTACTCAATTTAGTCTTTTGACTATAATTGTTTACAAATTCTTTCTACACATCAATTCTCTGACTCGTATATACTTCCATCAATCATTTTCCTTAAAATACATTCTTCAAAATATAATATCGTAAACATGTTTTATAATGTTAGATTGTATGCGATATGTTAAATAACATTATAACGTGAAAATATATGAATAAATATATATATATCTTATATTATTAGAGAAAGTCAAAAAATGAAATCAATTCTTACCAAAATATTATAAATAATTATCATTAAATTTGTATAGAAAATTGAACAACTCTACTAGATTCGAATTTCTTAAACTCGACTCGACTAAAAAAAATTCAAGTCAACTCGAATAATTCAAATTTTTTTGACTCGACTCGGTCGAATGCTCACTCTTAAATACTTTTA